CCAGACTTCCAAGAGAAACCCTAAAGCGAACGTTGACGAGAGAAGCCAAAGATGCTGTACTGGATTTCATCCATGATATCGAAGTGATAGTACATGATGGACCGGAATGGAGAAATAGACTGCTAGCCTGAAGTGACATAAAATGGCACAACAGGAAAGTGAATGAATGAAATGAGATGGCGTGGTAAGAATTTGGAAGAAAACAATGGGTGGCAGATAGTGTGACAGCATGAGTTACGTCTGTCAACAGGGTGCTGGGATAAGTGTCCCCAGCTAGACCGTAACGATGTATTTTCAGTCGACAGGCACACACAACAGTTGTAAGACCTTTCGATGCCTTTATAATTAACAAAAAATAAGATGCACTCAAATGTGAGTAAATGCGATTGGAAATTTAGAAATTCACAACAACAAAAATCAGTGGAGTGATAATCATCAGACAGAATAAATCTAAGTTCAAGAATCTGTTTTCATGCTGTGGTACATCTGTTGTTTAATGCCGGACTCGCTTTGTTATAGACCAGTCTCTCCTAAACTTTTCAGCGTAAATTTCGCCCAGCGCGCTCCTCTCCCTGGAAACATTATCATCACTATCTGCCTTACTAACAGGCATAAGCGGTCAACATACGCTATCTTACACGATCATCATTATCATGGATCAGGTTGTGCTCTTGTTCCCCCCTCCCTCCCTCTCCCCATGCACGTGGCTAAGCCATCAAGGTATTTTTTTCTTTGCTCCACCTTCTTATACCCTTACCCCAATACTGTCAATTTTACTAGTGGTCACTAAGTTCTGGAGTTTATTACTTGGCTTGTAATCAACTTTACTTACTTTTTACTTTTTCCTTCCACGTATGCCGCTAAGCGTTGTGGGGAGATGCAAGTTCCTGTCATAAGCAAGGCGGGCAGCATCTGATGTTCTGAGGCCATGCTTTTGGCAGGTTTCGGAGACCCCGTCAATCCACCGTTTCCTTGGTCTTCCTCTTGCCTTATATCCTGAGCTTCTTTGGTTGAAAATTTGTGATGTTATTTGATAATTTTTCATCCTGGTTAGATGTCCAAACCATTTCATTCTTTGATGTTCTATGTAGTCTAAACATGGCGTAGTTTTGACAGTGTTTCTGATGTCTATATTCTTTATCCTGTCTAGTCTGGTCTTATTCGCTGCTTTTCTTAGACATTTCATTTCACAGGCTTCTATTTTTCTTTCATGGGTCTTGTTGATTGTCCATGTTTGGCACTGGTAGCAGAGTGTTGGAATGAAGATGGTGTTTATCAATTGTCTTTTGGTCTTCATGGGTATATCTGGATGTTTAAGCAGAGGTGATAGTTGGTATGTGACAGCATTTGCTTTCTGTATTCTTATTTCTATCTCTCTGTCCATTCTTCCATCCTCTGTAAATATACTGCCCAAGTATTTGAACTCTTTGGTTTGCTTGATTTTGGCACTTCCAACATTTATATTCAGTGGCCTGTGTGTTCTGCTGATCTTCATAACTTCTGTTTTTTCTGTACTGATTCTCATATTATGTTGTAAACAGCTGTTGTTGAGAGTAGTCAGATGTTCCTGTAGATCATATTCATTTTGATACAGTATGCTTTGATCATCAGCAAAAAGTAATTCGTTTATAGCATACACGTCTGGGTTTGCTTCTACAGTGATCTTATCCATGTATGTTATGAAAAGTAATGGTGACAGTACACATCCTTGTCTGACACCAGTTGTGACTTTGAACCATTCAGAAATCAATTTCAGAATCAACAGCAACAAAAAATGATTAAGGGGCAGTTGTGTTTTGCATTGTCTTTCTTTCATCTCCTTACAACATGCTATGACAGTGTTTCCCAAACTTTTCTTAGTCGCTGCGCCTTTTTTCAATTAAAATTGTTTTACGGCGCCCTAAACTAAGTAAAAGTATGACTATTCGTATGTTAGTGATAAAAAAAATTAAACTTGTGTATCTTCAAAATTTTTCGCGGCGCTCCTGTGAAAAGGTCGCGGCTCCCCGGGGCGACGCGGCGCACAGTTTTGGAATCACTGTGCTATGAACTGTAAATTGTGTAGTGTTCTTACCAGTTCAACTTCATAGGTTGTTTTAAGAGTGTATTTGGTATTTTAAAAAGGATGCAGATGGGGCTGCATGAGGTTTCCTGTAGCCTTTGTATACTATGAATTGCCATTTCCAGTGATCTATAGTAGGCTGACATTCATTGCTGGACTAGTTCTGTTCTTGTGGATGCTGTCCTATTTAGAGTGTTAGGTGGTTGGGGAACTCACGTGTGTGAGCATGACAGCTTTTTATTTTTATTCTTTACTTGGACTGGAGTAATAGAAATCTGCTCAGCTCAAAAGACGATGACTGTCTCTGCTCTTAAATTGGTACAAACTACACATGCCGATGTTAAGTGTGTCACTGCATTGCAGCAAAGATAAATGTGGGAAAACAGTGTGACAAATGCCAGTGTTAAAATAGATTGTTCTGACAGATTTCACACGTGAGTCTGATTGACAAAACGGTTTTAAATATCTTCAAAGGTTCCGTCCTTTCGAGCAGGGTAGGAAGTGCAGGTCCTAGCTCACACAATTAACTGGGAAATTAAGCGTGTAAGAAACTTCAGTGTCCATTTCCGTTAATAGAAATCAAAGAAACACATTTTACACTTCCAGACAAGAGCTGTTATCATTTCAGAATAACTCTGAATGAAACTTCCTGCTCCAAATAAAGACTTCTACATCTGTATCAAGAAATAAGACATGTGCCGGTCATACACAGTCACATACGGGAGAGCAATAATTAAATAGAAGAAAAAAAGACAGCTGTATAGTGATAAGTTAATAAAAATGTTGGATATTGTACTGCGGTGCACTACCCACTTCGTAGTTTCATATACGTGACATTTCACCCCCTGCATATATTCATATTTCAAAAGAGAACTAGGTTAGAGATACTTATCCGTAATTTAATAAACTATATTGCTATTTATGACATACATGCGCCAGATCTGTCTTTTTTTGTGTGTTGGGTGCGCGCGCATGTGCATGTAAGTGTGTGGAGGTATGAGCGCAAGCGTCTTGAACGCTTCGGTGTACTGTATTCTTCGACAGGCTAGCAGGACAAAGAAAACAGTGGCTTTTCAGCAAATTATTATTATTATAACCTAAAGTAGGTTTATGCGCCTTGAGTATCTCTGACACGCTTGAGACAAGACGGTGCAAGTGCTCTACCAGCCTACAATGTCTGGTTTTGAATACTCATGGTTTCAGTTAATACGACATTCTTGAGACAATACAGTACAATGTTTTCAGATAGGGTGGTTTTGATTCCGTTGGAAGACTGAGTTTAAGCCGATAAATTGCTATTCGTGCTACCCAGTCCCTGAAAGTCCTATCAATGTGATAGTGGAAAAGGAAAAGGGGGGAAAGGGGGGAGAGGCTATTTTAACTAGTAGATATGTACTTTTTTTTTTTTTTTTTGCGTTCGTCCTTTAAACTTTTGTTGGCACAATGTGTTGTGATTTTAGATAGGCTGCACCATCTGCGCATTTCGGCTAAAATCTCAAATTTCAACAAATTCCTATGTATAACAGGCTTGTTAGAGAACAGTGGGTCTATTCTCCCGCCCCCAAACAGGGCCCCAGAATCCCCGCTGGGAACACACAAGTGCCACCTTTACAGGAAATCTGTTGCGGTGCTTTCCTTCCCTTTTGTAAATTCAAAAACTGACAGGGCGAACACGCATGTTACTGGAGCTTGACATCTCTGGTGATGCATTTTCGGAGTGCCGGTAACTTTTCTATATATATTGTGGTGCATACCAGCACCTTGTTTAAACACAGTCTAGTGAGTTCCGTCATCTTCTTTTCTAGAGAAACAGCCTTGGTTGCAGTAACAATTTTTATATAATGGGTTAATATACCGGCTAGATGAGAAATAAGAAGATCAGTATTTCTTGTAGGTGTTACGGGAGGGGCGTTGGGGCATAGACCTGCTTCTCTTTTTACAGACATGTCGTAAAAGGCGATTAATTAAGGATTATTTTGGACCGAATTTGTTGAGCGAAAGGGCGCAATCACAGCCTAACCTCATACTACAATATAATGTCCCCTTAAGGCGGGACGCAGAAGGAAAAGGAGGGGGAAGAAGAAGAAGAAGAAGAAGAAGAAGAGGAAGAAGAAGAAGAAGAAAAAGAAGTAGAAGAAAAAAGAGACGAAGAAAGAGAAGAAGAAAGCTCCAAAAAAAAAGAAAGCAAAAGAGAACTATATTATGTAAACAGTAGCCGTAAACGCATGGTAAGCTACCCGGTACTAAAAGAGTTGTTAGTTTTGCACGAACGCTGGAACCATGCGAGACAGTGTTTAGGAACCGCTGGGCCACAAAATCACAGCAGCAGGCGGCAGGTAATCATTGCAGAATTTTTTGTTTTTTGTTTTTTACATGTCAAAACGTGGCTTGATGAAATAATCGATTCTTTCTATTGATTGACAGCCGCATTGTGTTCAGATAGTAAATTACTCATTAAGTTGCGAACATGGGCAAACAATCAAACAACAACAAGCTATGATTCCAACTTTGTATTTTTTTTTTTCTCCCCCCCCCCCCCCCCCCCCCCCCCCCGGCCCAGGATTGCATTCTAAATAATTAACAATTTTTTCGGATGAGAATCGGATAGTTTCAATTCTATGAAACCCCGTTCAACCGTATATATAGTTATATAAGAGTACCCGATTGCCAACCGAGTAACCTGGTTGTATCTTGTTTAAAGATCCCATCAGTAGCTGTTTTGTGGTTAAAAGTGAAAAGATGACTTCGTTGTCCCCCTGTAGGTTTATAGGTTCCCCGTAGTTTGGGGGAGGTGGGGGTTTGGATTAAGAATAGACCCTCTAAACTTTAACAAAAATGTTTTAAAAGACGACAACTGTAATTAGAGAGTATTGATTTTTCTTTCCAGAGACTTCAGTTCATTTCCATCCTCTACAGAGTTTGATTTGACACGCTGAGAATGGCGAGACGAGTGTTGGAATCAGAACTGTTAGCAAAGGATGGAATTAGTGAGTGTATACTTCATTTGTATCTGAATACATGTATACATATATCATACTCAGCAGACTACACACAAATACACTAAGTGTCATCTTGGCAGCATAATAGTCGTCCAGGCAACTCAATGATTCAGGTTCTGAGTACACAACCACCTACAGTAAAATTATAAGTCAATAATCAAGTAGAAAGACACGTTGCCCCTATGTTCCACATGCCCCAGTTTTCAGGTTGATGCATTGGTGTTCAGCAAATCCGAGCCATGAAAAGAGAAAAAAAAAAAAGGCTTGCGTCTGTTGGAGTCAATACACAGCGAAGGGACTTTTCTACCAACCCGGTTCTGAGGAGGTATCACCTCCATGAGATCTTTGTTGCAGAGTTTCCTTCCTTTCTCCAAGCTCAGAAAATAGCTAGATGTGCAAACGTCACAGACGAATTTCAGGGAGGAATATTAGAATGTAACCAGCAATTGTTGTACTCTAATGGACTTTGAACCTTGATTATTGTGTTAATAACGCGCTCAGCACCAAGCAACACAAGGGTGTTTTTAATTTTATTTCAGCTGACATAGCATAATGTTGTGAATGTTGTGTGTGACGCAGTTATTATGTTAACCCACTCATTTCCATTTCTCATTCTAACTCGCATACCTCATAGTGTTATCATATTATCATACTCCTCGTACCCAAATATTTATTACTTAACTCTTTCGGTCCAATCATTTATTTCCTCAACCACTTCTATCCCAAGGAGTTGATCATAAAAGCATTAAATAATAAGGCCAGGAAGCGTTCAGCAGAGACACTATGAGACGTCAGTAGTTTGCCATTACCTCCTAAACGATCGGCTCTTGACACCGTAGTGGAATTGATCGTAAGGCGCGGCCTACTGTCAAATCGCCCACAGATGAAATGTAACCTAGTGCTTCGGAATTACGACACCTCTATAATAGTATCTACCATCTGTTAATTTCATGTACTCATTTTCATCGTATCCATGTAGTCATTCATACAATATAATAGTGTCGTCAACTGGTTGGCGTGATCTTCTGCTATCAGTCAGCAGGTCTTTAACAGAACGTCGCTCTCACCACAGCACGCCTGAAAATCTGTCATTTTCTAGCTGATTCTCCAGCCCTGTGTGCTTTCATAGCCAGTACATCTTCAGTGTCATGTATCCACATTCTGCCTAGTTTTCTGTGACTACCCTCCATTGCCGTTCTCTCTAAAACACCAATGCGTCTAACATGGTCAAAATAACTCAGCCTTCTGGGCAGAATTCTGTATATGAGCCAGTTCTTCTTGATGTTCAGATCTTCTACTTACAGCAACATGCCTACACTAAGATGGTATCATGTATTTGCTGGTAGGTTCGACAGCTAGTAGGCGCTCTCCCTATGTTATTGTCATAGACAGCAATGCCTCAGCTAACGAATGACTTGGCTAACGAATTATTTTGATAGCGAAAAAGTTTCGCTGTTTTTCGGTCTCGCTTACAGAATTTCTAGTGAATGCTTGCTAACATAATGTAGCAGCTTTCTGAGCTGAATTTTCTTTTCAATTAAGTTTCGGTTAGTAAATATTTCAGTTAAGAATGTGATTTTGGAACAAATTATTTTCGTAACCAAGGTATCACTGTATTGGTTGGCATCTTCTCCTTCTACTAGATGCCTATTTTATATAAATATAGACCGGTCTTATTATGTTAATGCAATGCTTTGGTTCGCATTGTCTCCTTCTAGTACATTGATCCCTCGGATTTCGAACGCATCGAAACTCGAACTTGGAATCGTAACGAAATTTTAAAGTAAATGTTGCCTCGGACCTCTAACACAATCTTGGAAACAGAACGTCTTGCACATGCCGATCACACAGCTGAGCTGACAACGCACGAGCTTCAGCACCTTAACTATCAGCAGAAGGAAGAAACTGCAGAAAAAATTTCTTCAAGGGAGGAAGAGTAGGAAATTGAAAGGATTAACACTGCTGAAATGCAAGGCCTTTTGACCGTGCGGTCGAAAAGGCAGGAAGTTGTTGAGAAGTGGCACTTTGATAGAGCCCTAGTTAAAGAAGTACTAACGTATTCAACGAAAACATTATCGCTGAGTTTGTTGGAACCTGGAACAGATTAATTTAGTTTCTTTTATTTTTAATGGGAAAACTGCCGTGAAACTCAAATGATTTGGAATTCCAACGTTGTCTCGGAACGGATTGTGTTCCAATTCCGAGGCACTACTGTATATACTTAATTAACATCTTTCTTTGATTTAATTCTCTGCCTGTTTTACAAATCTACGTTATGTTGAAGGCATATCCTACTTGGTGTCTTCTCCAGCTCAGAAGCCGCTAGGCCCTGGCAAGTCGGTAGATATAATGAAGGAGATCCGAATACACAAGACATCAGGAGGGGTCTTCAGTGTACAGTTCAACTATACTGGGGAAATGCTGGCTGTTGGGTTTGGGACTGGTGGTGTGCAGGTTAGTGTGCTTATTATGTGATGAAATGTTTGGGTTTAAGACAGTTTTTATCATCCCCCCTCCCCCCTCTCCCCCTCCCCCTTCTTCGATGCATGTGAATTTTGACTTGCAATCAGTAAAAAGAAGACTAAGGTTATAGTGCAAGAAGGTGGTAATGATAGACCAGCAGTTTACATTGACGGTGAAGAGCTGGAGTCTGTTGACCATTTTACCTGTATGAAATGCCAAATAAATAACAAACTATCGCTGGAACAAGAACATCATGATAGGTAAGGCAGCAACAACAAAGATCAGGTATAATGGCAGTCTACAAAGACTGAGGTGGCTGGGTCACACCTGGAGAAGGAGGATGGCCGAGTCCCTAAGGAGATCCTCTGTGGTGAATTAAAAACAGGAAGAAGATGTCGCGGCTGACCTCTACTATGATATAAAGATATGTGCACGCGGGACAGGAATGATACAAGTATTAAGGTGAACTCGTGGGAATAAAATGCATGGACCGTGTTATTTGGAAGGGGTACTTAGGAAGGGAATGAGAATGAAGGGAAAAAAATTATTGCAGAAAGGATGAGAACGGAGCGTCTGGGAAGAAACAGACTAAATACAAATGTTGACAACAACGGTCCTGAAATCCCATGCTATAATTGTGGAAGACTTAGCGCGGGTCTTGCTAGTCACACTTGCCAGCCTCATAGCACAATATAACACTACAGTCTAGAAAGACGGAAAGGTGCCAATCAGTCACACCCTGAAACTATCGATCAGCGCTTTACTCCTTCAGATTACACTATCTGTTGGTTCAATATTGCTCTAATTGTATCCGTTAGATTGGACTAATTATCCATTAATGTTATCTTTTTTTATTTTAGATTACACTAACCGACCATTAGTGCACTAATCTTCTAGTTCAGATTCCATTAACCTCCCATTTGTCCACAATGCTGTAATTTTCTCCTTCATATTACATTCTTTCCAAAAAATTCGAATATTTTCCTTTTTTATTTTTCTTTCTATTAATACTCTAGCATTCTCCTTCTGACTGCTCTGTCTATCTCTTGGGATCTCTTAATTTTTTTCTCTAGATTACACTTATTGATACTACCTGTCCATTAATGCTGTCATCTTCACCTATGATTATTATTCGTGGAAGAGCATCTAACAACTCACCTCTGTCTTGGGATTGAATGAAGTAAATACATATAGAAATCAGTAAGATAGTTTTAATTTACTAAAATGTAAAATGCCAATACAGTCATCTTATTTATGTCGTTTTACAGCTGTATGAAACCCAGACGGGGGAGATGGTGCAGGAACTTCGGCCTTGTCGACAAGGAGGCTTTGCTATTATGGTGCTGCGGTTTCACCCCAAGGAGCCCCATATTCTGTATGCCGGGTCTGCTGAAGGCAATGTGTATGTGTTTAGCACAAAAACCGGGGCGCTACTGGAGACAATCAATGGTATGTTCAAGGTGCATATCTGCTGCACTTATCTTCTCCTTAAAGTCGATGCCTCGGCGTCCGTGGCTTAGGCGTTGCGAGCGGGATTCATAAAGCCTGGTTGCAAGGTTCTCTCCCATCTGTAGGTGATTTGAAAGCAGACCGCTTTGCACTGGTTTTGACAGTGGCATCGAGAGCCGACCGTTTAGTGAGCAATAATAAATTTGCCTAGAAAAACTTCCAGTCAAAAAACAATGCCAGCGTTGGTTCTGCGACGTCCTGTAAAGGATACGCAACTTACTGTGTAATAGTCCATGCCATGTGGCGTTGGAAGCTATGTCTTTAGAAGTCATGTCTTTTCACCAGCTTTTTTGTTTCACATAATTTTAGTTATTTTTATGGAGACGATCCTCCACGGCGTGATTCCTTTGTCCAGCATCTTATCTCTTGGTCTCCCTCTGCCTCCTCTCCCCTCCAACTTTCCCTCGTCATAGCGTACTCTAGTTTTCCATGATAGAGCCAGAGAATGTAGACTGTCTTCATCTAATGCAATTAATCAGTTCTGTCCTTAAGTTAATCTTTTTCGAAACATCTTAAGCACACTTTAAAAATCTGCCCAGTGTTCTCATTTTTCGTCTGTTAAACAAGATTAATAATTTTCATCTAATCTAATAAAATTCAGTGATTCACTTCCATAGATCAGGGCTGGCGCCATTTCGCTCTTAAGAACTTTCTTTCTCCACCTACTTGACATACTGTTGAGGAGCGGCTGGCCGAGCGGTCACAACGCCTGGCTGTCATGTGGGAGGAGACCTGGGCTCGACCACAGTCCGTGGCGACAGCACTAGCCATGCGACCGTAAATCTTCAGGCACACGACCGCCCCCTCCCCTCCAACCAGTCCGCACCGTCCTAACAAGTGGTGAAATCAGACAGTAGTGATACATTTGGCACAACGCTTGTACACTCCAGTGTCACCATTATGTCAACTATACAGGTGTCTCAAAAGAGACCAAGATTTAAAGAATGTAGTTTTACGTTGAGCTGCATGCACCTTCTGTCTTCTTAGAGTTCGGCAATGAAATAAATACACTGGACTTTTGTGTGGATGGATACAACTTTGCCACTGGTGGTAAGGACCTTGGTATTCGAGTCTATGAAACAAAATCAAATAAGGTAAGACATATTTACAACAATAGTCAAGTATTTGCTACTTTGTAAATAAATATAGAATTAGAAACGAAAACAATTTATACAACAATAGTTTTGATATTCTCACAGCTAATGGTAGCAGCACTTATCAGTCTATGTTTTTCATTGAAGCCATGTGTAATTTCAGGATTCTGTTGAAATTCCTAAATGTTACTGCATTGCTTTCATATCATTTGGTAATGATTTCTTCACTGCCAGCTTTTACAGGACTTGTTAGGACGAAAAGAGCTTTAATTGGATCACAAATACCAATATAGTTGTTGTAATAAAACCTTCATCAACAACAGAAAAAGCACATGATTATTATTCATTGAAGATTATATAAATTACAGGAGCATCCTAGATGCCTGGAGAAACAAAGTTACATCAATTGACTGGCACCTATAGTTACAGATAAAAGAATAATCAAGGCACTATTTTCTGGCCAACAGAAACAACAGTTGAAGCCAAACTTTATGAGTCGCTGAGTGGATTACAAAAAACGGTGAAGTCCACACTAGAGACAGCATTGCAGATATCGGCTTCTTCTTCTTCTTCTTCTTCTTCTTCTTCTTCTTCTTCTTCTTCTTCTTCTTCTTCTTCTTCTTCTTCTACTACTTCTTTTTCTTCTTCTTCTTCTTTTTCTTCTTCTTCTTCTTCTTCTTCTTCTTCTTCTTCTTCTTCTTCTTCTTCTTCTTCTTCTTCTTCTTCTTTTTCTTCTTCTGCTTCTTCTTCTTCTTCTTCTTCTTCTTCTTCTTCTTCTTCTTCTTCTTCTTCTTCTTCTTCTTCTTCTTCTTCTTCTTCTTCTTCTTCTTCTTCTTCTTCTTCTTCTTCTTTTTCTTCTTCTTCTGTATGTCCTCATTTATTGCTTCGGTTGTCAAGATAGATATGAAGTCCTACTTCGTGCTCTTTTGGCTGCATGGTGGTGCTGTAGAATTTTTCTGAGGTTATCTTCCCATAGGGTTCTTGGTCTGCCTCTTGATCTACGTCCCTCTCCCCTTTTGGTGTATACCTTGTATAGTATAGCATCAGAAGGCAATTTCTCCTAAGCAAGCAAACAATTTTTTTTTTGGGGGGGGGGGGGGGGGGGCTGTCTTTATATCTAATTTAGAATTGATTTTGTGCCGAAGTTATCTCGTATGACCTCATTCCGGTCACTCCTACAGTCTTTCTCAGACACCTCATTTCCATGATGACTAATTGTCTTTTATGTTTTGTTGTGAGTGATTACGTCTGGCACTGATAGCCTAGGGCGAGAATGAATATGCTTTGTATGAGATGTTTCTTTGTTTTGACTGGTGTTGCCTTTTGCTTTACTGCACTGGAAGTCAGTTTCTTCGTCCATTTTACCATCTTCAGTATATGTTGTTCCAAGATATTTAAACTCAGATACCTGTTTAATATAGGTATGCTGTATTGTTATATGTAAATTCTGCTTCTTTCTTCCTACTTACATTGCAGATGTAGATAATCAATTTCGGGCGAACGAAAGAAGAAGAAGATGGAAGAATTAGAAATATGAGGACATTCAAACAACAGAATCAATCAATGAATCAAAAATGGACACCACTGCACTCGGGACAATTCTATATGTGCAGCTTCCCCTTCTTGAGTAGCCAGTGAAGAGTTCCGTACTGATGGTGTTAGTTGCTACCTAATACGAATTTGCCCACATGCAAACAGCAGAAAAATTATGTGGCTTTTCAGTTTTATGGTGGTTAGTGTATACAATGTCGGCTCTGTGGCTAAGTCGATGCGAACGTTTCGTAATGCCGGGTTCAATCCCAGCTGCAGGCCATGCGCCTTGAGTTGGTTTCGACAGTGGTATCAAGAAAGCCGACCGTCCAGAAGCAATGGCAAACTACTGGACGTAAATTTGCCTAGAAAAACCACACAACAGCCAGGGGTCGTTGGGGTTGGTTCTGCAACGTCCTGTAAAGGATACGCAACTAACCAGTGTATAAAATTACATTTTGTGTTTGTTATCACATATACTTGTGGTTGGTGGTATACCTATCAATTTATGCTTGTATTTATTACAATATACTAGTAGTTCGTATAACATAAAATTTTATGTTTGTATTCATAATATACCAGTAGTCAGTATACCAAGACATTTTATGTTTGTACACATATACTGGTAGTTCGTGGTATACCGTACCATTTTATGCTTGTATTCACAATATATTAATAGTTCGTATAACATAGCATTTTATGTTTGTATCCACAATATACCAGTAGTTAGCATATCAAGATATTTTATGTTTGTTTTCACCGTATACCAGTAGCTGGTATACCATGACATTCTATGTTTGTATTCACAATATACCAGTGGTTGGTTGTATAGCATAACATTTTGTGTTTGCATTCACAATATACCAGTAGCTGGTAAACCATTACATTCTATGTCTGTATTCACAATATACCAGTAGCTAGTGGCATAGCATAACATTCGGTGTTTGTATTCACAATTTACCAGTAGCTGGTAATGACATTTTATACTTGTATTCACGGTGTACTAGCAGGTGGTATAGCATACAATTTTACGTATATAAAATTGCATTTTATACTAACTACACTACTAGTATTGTTTTTCACAAAATACTAGTAGTTATTTAATCAGACAGTGACACATATAACAACATAACACTATCTTCTGCCAGCTAATCAAAGAGTGGAAGGGCTGTAACCACAACTCCGCCGTGGTGGATACAATGACTGTAGGCAACACAATGAGGATATTTTGTATCAAATTCCACCCGAACAACCAGTACATCTTTGTCAGCGGAGGCTGGGACAATCATCTTAAGGTAAATAAGCATTTTTTGGAATTACTAAGCCACGAACTCTTTAATCTTCTTCTTCTTCTTCTTTCTTCCTCTTCTTCTTCTTCTTCTTCTTCTTCTTCTTCTTCTTCTTCTTCTTCTTCTTCTTCTTCTTCTTCTTCTTCTTCTTCTTCTTCTTCTTTTTCTTTTTCTTCTTCTTCTTCTTCTTCTTCTTCTTCTTCTTCTTCTTCTTCTTCTTCTTCTTCTTCTTCTTCTTCTTCTTCTTCTTCTTCTTCTTCTTCTTCTTTTCATTATTATTATTATAATTATCATTATTATTATTCTGTGTTTGCCCTGACAAGGGTAAGTAGATGGCACCTTATGTTGTCCTTTACAGCTAGGCTGCGATATCTGCACCTTTTGGCCTCACACTTCCTATTTCAGCAAACTCCTAATTAATTAAAATTTAAGGGCTGTGGGTCTGTTCTCTTCGCCGTCAATATGGGACCCCAGAATCCAGTTCATTGCGGCGTCCGTGGCTTAGGCGTTGCGAGTCCGCCTCGTAATTCCAACGTACCGCGATCGAAACCCACTGCTGGCTGCGTGGATTTTTATCATGGTATGGGGCGTCGTAGGTCGACCCAGCCTAAAATGGGTACCAGGATGTATGTCTTGGGGAAGTAAAGACGGCCGGCGTAATGCTGACCACAGTCCCCACCTAGTGCGGATTGTTCTGTACAAATATAAGTGCTCTTCCCATATGTCTGAAGCGCCTAAAAGGCGTAAAAGAGGGATCTTTACTTACTTATTTACTACTAATTCATTGTGTAATTATCTGTTGTAATGAGGATGTTTAGAGAGTATAGTTGATATCAGAGGAAATTCCTGATTAGCATAATGTAAGGCTAACGATAGTTTTTAAAGAAACTCAGTGTGTAATTTGTCTGTCTGTTTCCCCCTTCAAGCTCCTACCTAATGATTTGACCACCCCTGTTGCCTAGATGAAAACCAACAGTGTGAAAGTCAGAAACCCCGTTCAACATTCAAGAAAGTTATAATTAGGATGTCTTGACGGCCGTACGAAATTAAACACTCTACAGTTATTTGCAGTGAAGAAAGGGTTCTAAAACTGGTGATTCGCCCGGCTCGCTAGCGCAGTCGGCTAAACCTGACTTCGCGGCGACCGGGTGACGAACTCCTTGTGGTCCGTGTTCACACCCTGGGGTAGGCAGAAAAGCCACATTTCTCCCAGGTATACGGTATTTATCATGGAATCAAGACCAAAGGGTTGCGATATCCATAGTACCGAGCTAAAAGGGTTAACAACTCATGGTTTCTGGATATTTGAAGGGGAAAAAACAGGTGATTCGTCTTGTATGCTCTTGGCATATCATTTATTTACATTTTACTTGAATGGAGAAGCTCAGATAGACACTTTACTTTTGATAAGGAATAGGCACATTGCATTTATTAATTGCGAGTGCGTACTGGCTTTGCTAACACAGATAAGTATTTATTTTGTAAAGACAAACACATACTGCTATTTGTTATACTGACACAGCCGGTATAACATAGATATCGTGGTTGATTTTATGGTGGAAGTGTCTTTAGGCTTGCATAACTGAATAGGGGTGAAACTTACAGTACTGTTTTCACAAATATTATGACTAATGCTTTTTTTTTTAATTTGTCTGTTCTCTCTCTGCGAGGTGATACCTGATGATTTGACCGCCATTATTGTCGATGTTGCCTCACCTCTGCGTTCTTTACATGTACAGTAAAACATCGTTAACACGAAATCCAAGGCACTGCACAAAAAAGAGTTCATGTTAACAGAATTCAGACTAAGCGGGAATTAATAGATGTTTTATGAAAAATACATGCCTCCCGTAACCAACATTTTGTTCATGTTAACTCAGTGTTTATCTTAAAGGAGTTCGTGGCAACAGAATTTTACTGGATAACTGTTAGGAGCCAAAATAAGTGAAATAGCTGACTTTTTTGTGATACCTGGTTTTTAATCTTCTTTTTCTTCTTCTTCTTCTTCTTCTTCTTCTTCTTCTTCTTCTTCTTCTTCTTCTTCTTCTTCTTCTTCTTCTTCTTCTTTCTTCTTCTTCTTCTTCTTCTTCTTCTTCTTCTTCTTATTTCTATTATTTTATTATTATTATTCTGTGTTCGCCCTGACAAGGGTAAGCAGATGGCACCTTATGTTGTCCTTTACAGCTAGGCTGCGACATTTGCACCTTTTGGCCTCACACGTCCTATTTCAGCAAACTCCTAATTAGTTAAAATTTAAAGGCAGTGGGTCTTTTCTCTTCGCCGACAATTTGTGACCCTAGAATCCATGCGGTGAAGTTCAGTCAATCGGTAACCTGCTGTTTCAGATCTGGGATGTTCGAGATAATGATGGTATCAAAAGGAACATCCGTGGACCTCACATTTGTGGAGATTCCCTTGACCTGAAGGTAATATTTGAGTTATGTGGACTAGTCTCTCCTATTTGGTGGTCTGCTGGTCAGCATCACTGCGAACACCACCCTGATAATTTCGGTAAAGTCGAAAGTGGGTGAGCCGTACTACCACAAGTCCACAAACAGCTGTGGTCACTGTTGAGTTAACAGTTTAGAACCAAATCTCTGGGCCAGCAGACTACATGAGCACGAGGAACCAGCTTATTCAAAATGGTATTACACAATTTTAGGCAAAGATCACCATCTAAGAGACGTGATTGACAGTGCCAAGTTTTTCGGCAAATTTGCAGAAATTAGAATAAATGAATTTGGTGGTATCTGAGTGCTGACTGCATAAACCACTTTTTAAAAACACACACTTAAAATGAAGTATTTAGTTAATGTGGACTAGCTCTATAATATTATAGGCCCATTGGCAGTCTTGGGTAAATATTTTGCTTGCTGTCTCACCATTACTTCTCAGAGCATGTACAAGTACAGTGCTAGTTCCTTATACGTAATTAATCTATTCCTGATCCTTCGCAGTGTACCAAACAGTTAGCATACCAAACGAATTTTCCGTTTTAAAAAAAGGATATATCCTTTTTTATGATAGAAACAATTATTTTTGGCATATTACACATTAATGGCTTTGTGCAAAATAATGTGTAAGCATATACTGCCTATTGCTAAAATACGCGAATGCAAAAGCAATTTGATGAAATAAATAAACATTTAAACTCAGTTTACATTCCTGACAAGAGTCGAATGCCTGCTGGGATGCCACTGCGAAGGCAAAGGAGTTGATATTATTGTTAAGAAAGTGAGTCCCTTTAGAGTAAAATTTTAGAAATTTGACATTCCTGCGTTTTGTCCTCTATATCAATCGTTTTATACAGGCTAATAATAACCAAGTGGGTTTTTCAAATCTTAAATCACTGAATCTGCCAAACGATTCTCAAACAACACCTCCATTTCTGTTTTTGCATAGAAACAGCTCGTGGTCCCGATTTCTCTTATTTATCCCGCGATCCTTCTCCCAGGTCGACCTAGCCTTGAGGGGGTAGCGGATGCAGTCCCGGGAAGTAAAGGCGGTTGATCACATCACCAATCTTGTGATTATTAGTCTATAAAACTATACAAATAAAAGCGTGGAAAAGGGACATTTACCTTACTTTATCCCCTGATCATTGTGCACTGTTTACAGGAAAACGAAATTCTCTCAGGACAGTGGACCGCCCTCCATGCTCTGCAAGTGTACAACTACAGCAGCGGGAACGTGGTGCGTGAGATCTCCTACCCACACACAGATGGGGCATTCCTCTACGCTGCCGTCTATTGTAACGCAGATACTGTGTTCGCCGGGGGCAGCAGTACTAACAGGGCGGAGGTGTTAGAGATCTCTACAGACCGGGTAGGTTTTAGTCAACTGCATATAATATTAGGTCAGTACTTGTTTGGTTTGAGTAAATACAGTCTCTTCTTTTGTTAAGATGTTGATGCTGTCTATTATCTCTAAGTATGGGGTCCGCCTCGAGTGCTGGAGGTCCCAGGTTCAAGCCCCGGTGAAGGCTGGGGTTTTTCACGTGGACTTCTAGTAATTTCTCCTGGTCTCTGGGTAGTAAGATCGGACAGCGTGTGTATTGTTGCGCCCGTAAAAAATCCCTTTGCAGTTGGAAATGGAAAAGAGTAGTCGAACGGCGCTGGCGGGGCAAAATTTGGAGTTGAAAATCTACCCAAAGTACTTCAGGATCCTCGCCGGTGCAACGGAGCTCGTGCACTGCGCTGAGATTCTTCAGACTCAGGCTTGAGTTGGAGGTAGAACGGAGCACTTATAGGATGCACCCGTGTGCCATGATGTTGATCCATTGAATAAACATAAACGCCCCGCTCGCTAGCTCATTTGGTTATACCTGACTGAGCGGCGACCAGGTGACGAACTCCTTGTGGTCCGGGTTCATGCCCGGGGGTAGGCAGAAAAGCCACATTTCTCCAAGATTTACGATATCTTTCATGGAATCAAGGCCGAAGAGTTGCGATATCCATAGCACCGAGCCGAAAGGTTAACAAATCATGGTTTCTGGATATTTAAAAACGTATCTATAAACCGTAGGCTCTGTGGCTAGGTCGTAATGCCAGGATGCCGGGTTTGATCCCAACTGCGGGCTATGCACCTTGCGTTGGTTTCGACAGTTGTATCAAGAAAGCCGACCGTCCATAAAGCAATGGCAAACTACTGGACGTAAATTTGTCTAGAAAAACCACACAATAGCCATGGGCTGTAGGTGTTGGTTCTGCAACGTCCTGTAAAGGATACGCAACTAACTAACCATTTATAAACCATGTGTGAATGAAATAATGTATGCACGGAGTGGGGGGAGAAGGGCAGAATGTAAGCGGACCTATGTGCCCAGTTCTTAACCATTGGAAAATAAAGTTTGATCATTCTTTCCTAGTGCCGATGCCTTAAAAGAATCGCACAGGGGAGTTAGATGTAGTGTTCTGCCTTTTGCTAGCCGCAGTCGTAGTTAATTGTGTGTCCTTTACATGATGTTGCACAATCAACCTTAGCATTGTTTGGCTAGTGCGGTTTTTCAAAGCAAATTAAAGGTTTAGTAGTTGGCCATTGCTTTCTAAACGGTCGGCATTCGATACCACTGTCGAAACCAACACAAAGCGGACTGCTGCGAAATCGCCTGTATCTGTTATCGAACCCGGCACCTCAGCATTACGAAGCGCATTCTCAACGCCCAGGCCACAGACGCCGATGTTAGTTGCGTTGCTTGTGTTAATGTCATTTTGCGTTTCTTTAATGTGTCTTTTACTCGTTCTATCCATGACTCTCTTGGTCAGCCTCTTGTCTTTTAGACTGCTGTTCTAGATACTAGCCCATTTTGTTTCATTCTGACTAGATGCCTAAACCGTTTGCTTCTTCGATGTTCTATGAGCTCATTTATAAGTACTGTCCCTTCCATTGTTCTTATTTCTTTACAAATACAATGTAAAAGTAATTTAAAAAAAAATTTTTTTTCATGCTGGAAATGCATTGGGAACATGACGCAAGACTTATCTTATTGTCTAGACCTCGATGAAGGATGTGATCGATATCATTGAAGGAGTTAAGTAAAAGACGGTTTCCCACGCCCTCCAGCGTGCTGGGTGTGTAGGTCTGGACCTGAATTTTAAAGACCGAACAACACTTGCTTGGTGATGTGGTCAGCATCACGACAACCGCCTTGACTTCCCAAGCTCATTTTTAAGAGGGAAAAAGTAGGTTTCCTTCAGAACCCGAACCTATAACCTTCCGATCGGCCCGCGAGCGTCTAGCCGCTATACCACGGTTCCCCTACACGGGAGTAGGTTTCATATATTGTAACAATTAGCAGAGCTTTTTTTTTTTCTTATTGTTTATCGGGCCATGCAACGGTACGCAGTACCAGCACGTTTTTTCAGGGAGCATTTTATCTTTCAGCACAACTTTAATAGGCACTTTGTGGTGAGTACCGGTACTTTATGGTGAGTACTGGCACTTTTTAAAGGCACTGTGTGGTGAGTACGGTAAATGAGGTTTTTTTTTTTTGGGGGGGGGGGGGGGGGGGTGGAAGGGTCCGGAAAAAAAGCCTGAACATTACTTAGTAAGTGTTGGTTTCCTTCTTCTTCTTTTCATTCTTCTTCTCTTTCTTTTTCTTCTTCTTCCCCTTCTGCTTCTAATTCTTCTTCTTTTTTATTTTTCTTCGCGTTCAGTGACTGCAAACTCCAGTGGAAAGATCTTGTTGTTTGTCCACCTCTGGACTTTAGCCTTGTTCCAAAACCTGCATGTTCAGTTTAACAGATATGAATAAATTGTTTGCAGACTGTTGGTTCCTCCCCTCTCAGGCAGATGCACTCCTACTTCGAAGGAAGCTCCCAGTTAGTCGACTCTTTTGACATGCTAATTAGGGAGGCAGGGGGTCTGTTCTTGTTTTCCTTACAATGAGACCCCGAAAACCACACGGGGAAGGTTGGTTTTAGTAAATACAAAGAGTTTAATCACTAAACACACAATCTTTTTACTTTCAGAGAGGTAAAAAAAAACCCAGCTTCTGTAACAAATGTGAGTTCTCAATAAAACAGTAATATTTGTGTCCCCCGCAGCATGTTGGTGGGTACCAGTTGTCCGGGCCGGTGCAGGCCTTGGATAGTGCAAACCAGGGTAGAGCTCTTGCTGTCGGCGGTGCAGCACCAGTGTTCGCTATACTTACTCTACAGGACTGACAACTGAAGTGATGTATATACCGTTTCCACTGTGCATTTAATTTTCCGTTTTAAGGTGAAATAGAAAGTTATTTTGAAATAATTTTTTTTTCAGATTTTTTTTTTTTAAATTTATCAAATGTTGCAATGTGCAAGGTTTTAATGAAGTGTGTGCTAATGTGTCCGTTTGTAGCCTCTTTGAGTCCCAGGGGGGTTTAGCATCGCAGGCCCAGTGGGTAGTAAAGAAAGTAATAAAATCGGCGCATCATGCGTTCATTGGGCTTCTAGGTAGGAACCTATGAACGTATGATACGTTCCTTGGGACTCAAAGAGTTATTCCTCGATAGAATATGCCGATTTCAACAGAGGAAGATTGTACATATAGCGATATATTTTTTTTTAGCTGAGCTAATTACATGAATTTAGTGAATGGCATATTTTTTCTGTCTAATAATCTCCTCCACTTGAAGCATAAACCCGTGGTGAACTCAAGCTAAATTGTTTCATTTGCCTCCTCAGGCATCTCATTACATCTAAGCACATACTTTTGTTTGACAGGGAGCCGCCCTGATGTTGGGGCTAGACCCACGCCTGCGGAGTGGAAGGTGGTGTGATAGGATACTGACGAAACCGGACTTTCTCCAGAAATGAACTTGGCTCCCAGCCTTGAGTGGGTACCAGGTGCAATTCTGGGAAGTAAAAGCGGTCGGTGTGATGTGACCACATAACCCATAGAGTGCCGATTGCTCTGTAAAAATATAAGTCTAGCGCTACATGCCCAATACACCTAAAGGCGTGGAAAATGACCCTTTAATATAGGACAATTTCTAGAATTGTGCGCATTTAAAGATAGAGCGAATAGCCCTGACCAAAACACTGGCCGTCTGCTTGCCCTTTCTGAGCGGCTGCCTGGCGATATCCTGGATGGCAGACCAGCAGCGTAAATCCCAAATGCCCCTTTAATCCCCTTAGAAGTTATAATTAGGGCACCCTTGATTGATATACTGTTGCGCTGAGTTCAGTGCACACAGAAACTAAGCGCTCCCTCCCCCACCCTCACCTTTCGGGTAGATTTCCCATTCCGACTGTACCAATAGCAGGTCTGACTGTGTATCCATCTTGTCTTTAGCCTGTTGAGTGACAAGCGGATCCCCTGATTACACGCGATTATCACCAGCCGAAATGACCTATTTAAGGCACCAAACGATGTAGCCTGCAATCTTGCATTAGGTCCCCCTTCCCTCACATCTCTCCCCCCTCCCCCTTTTTTTTCTCTCATTGCAGGTTGTTTCGTGGGTACACTAAAATAACTGTGTTAAACGGTTGAGTTGGCGTGAATAGAAGGCAAAGGAACAATTGTTCAGGATATAATATTATGGAAGAAAAACTGACAGTGTAAGCCAAGCTCAAATAAATGTCACTTCATTTCCACAGTCTCGACATTTGCACAGGCTCCACTGATTAGCTTTTACAGTTAGTTTTCAATACGACTTTTGTTTTCCTGAGAAACTATTGTCTGTCAAAGCTTTCCTTGATGGATAACTGATCAAACATCTGATGTTTCAGTATTTAGTGCAGACGTAAGGATGGGAGTTGTTAGGCATGAAAGCTAAGGACCTGATCTTTGTCGGTATTATTATTGTCTGTTTGGTTAAAGAACTGTGTCATGTATTTAAATATGCTTGTCAGCAGTTATTATTATCATTCCCATCCAGATGTTGGGGGGATCTTTTATACGAATTTTACAAAACCACATATTCTCAAGAAAATTCATATGAACTATTCCGATTTTAGGCACGAATTTGTTTTATAAGCAGTGTTCGCCTACCAGCCAGATGTCTGAGGTTCAAATCTTCATTTAAGCGGATTCTCTCCCCCCCCCCCTTTCCCACCAATTGACATTGGCTGCCAATGGACCCAGCGTTATATGGGCACCCGGGGTAAGTTTTTTTTTTTTTACAAAGTAGGTCACGTTTCATTCACAAGTTTTCTGGCTGGTCTACTTTCCTGCAGGTTACGGGTGTGCCGCTCAATTGCTTGCTACATAGGTTGTCTTGCATTTACGTTTTTTTTTTCCGAGAAAGACAATGCCTGTGACATAGGTTGCAGATCCCAATAGGGGGAATTGTGTGAGACCCAGTTTTTCCTTTTTTTTGGGGGGGGGGGGGTGTTAAAAGCGCTGGCGTACTGAAATATACAACACGCAATATCGACGGCATTGAGAAAAACCCCGTAACTAACTAACGTTAGTTTTACCAGCATCTGGTAATATCCGTTGAAGTAAGGGAATCAAATGCTGACTGGTCTATGTTTGTTTGTTTTAGTATCCAGAAGCCATGAGTTGTTAACCCTTAGGCTCGGTATTATGGATGTCGCAACCTTTCGGCCTTGATTGTAAATACCGTAAATATGGGAGAAATGTGGCTTTTCTGCCTACCCCCGGGAGTGAACCCGGACCACAAGGAGTTCGTCACCCACTCACCGCGCAATCAGGTTTAGCCAACTACACTAGAGAGACGGGCTGACTGGTCTATAAAAGTATGAGTCTAGCGTCCGATACGCCATAGACTTGTAAACAGTCCTTTACTTGTACCCCCTTTTTTTTACTCCCGCCCCTCATTTAAACAGAGCCGCTTTGTGAAAGGTTGTTAACCAACCACCTGTTTTCATTTTACAGACTTGTTCTTCTTCTTCTTCGTGTTCACCAGTTGTAAACTCTGGCGGAAAGTTCTGGTTATTCATCCATTTCTGGACTTGTGTATTAGTAGCTAGACCAGTGTTTTTCAAACTGTTTTGACCCACCTTCCCCCTTTTCAGTGAATTAATCGCATTGCAACCCTCCCCTTTTTTTCTGGCTGGAAAAATAATCAACACCATGTGCCACGCCGAAAAGCGTAGTCGGTCATCATTCGCCATCCTACACGATCAGCAGAAGCACGGATCAGGTTGTCTTCTTGTCCAGCTCCATACATGTGCTGCATTGTTTCTGCAAGAGTCTGTATTTATGTTTGACTGACTGACTTTCTACCCCACCAGGACTTCAAGCGATAAACACCCGATGACACAATGTGCCACCATGTGAATGAGGATCACCGTGGGGAGGTCCCAGAAACCGCGTTCAGCCATTAGGCCGTATTTATGGCCGGGTTATATTGCGGCCCCTGGCAGGAGGCAGAGTAGGACTTCAAATAACGAAAAATCTTATGCTAAAAAAGACGGGAATTAATATACATTTTGTGAGTGCAATTATGTTTGAAGGACGCTCAGTGTAAAATTGTGTCTGTGTGTGGGACGGCATTGTCAGTATGTTTTATCTTTTTCTGTCTGCGAGGAAGTGCCAAAGTGTTTTGTGAACAATTCTTAGGTTGATTTAGCATTGCCCGTTGTCTTTGTATGACATATTTTCAAATTTGGTAATAAAATAAATTGTAGATGATTGATTGTTTCACTTTTTTTTTGATTACGTGTTCTTGTTTTGTTTTAAATTGTTTTGTCTTTCTTGTATTATCTAGTATATTAAGAAAAGGAGAATGCTTTCCCTTGTTTGGCATACGGTACAGGGGGACACTGGTTTTGGTTTTTAGAGTTCTTTGGAGTTCCGTGGACTAATTTTTTGGTTTAAAAAAAAAATAGACCTTGCACCAAACAATCATGTCATAAAAGTCTGCTGATTATGGATCTTTCTTTCGAAGTCGGAGTGTAACTACTGATAGTTCGGAGTGTAACTACTGATAGTTCGCAGTGTAACTACTGATAGTTCGGAGTGTAACTACTGATAGTTCGGAGTGTAACTACTGATAGTTCGGACAATACCTCGGATAAAACACTTTTATGTAGCTTGAAAACATTTGTGAGGACTCAAGTTTATGCAGTTCGGAAATCATGTTTATTGTCATGCACCTGCTTATCGCCTTGTATTTCATTGTAAATACCATTTACCTATCTGTTCAAGCCCCTATATGTCCTTATAATGAGAACATTTTAGCTTTATTTATACTTTACGACTCATTCATACATGTGCTAACAAAGACACTAACTAACACGTATACACACACACACACATATATATATATATATATATATATATATATATATATATATATATATATATATATATATATATATATATATATATATATATATATATATATATATTAGGGCTGTACCGAATAGTGATTTTTCACTATTCGGCCAAATCTGAATAGCGAGACCAACTATTCGGCCGAATACGAAAATGAATAGATATCATCACCATCAGGTGCCTTGCCTACTGGCGTGAGCCGTTATGCCTCGCCACAATTTGCGATCTCCTGCAGCATATATTAGTTCGTGTCCTAACACTTCCATGCCATGCAACAAGACTGTCAAGAATCTTTTTTCTTTGACCTCCGCTATCCCTCCTTCCACAGATCTTTCCAGTGGTCACCACATGTTCCATTTTCCCTCTTCTCATAACATGGCCGAAAATGATGTTTTTCTCCTTCTGATGTCTGTGATTAGTTGTCTTCGGTCTCCTACCTCTTTCAAAACCTCTTGGTTGCTTTTTATTTTGGCTGTCCGAGGTATTTTAAGCATTGTTCTGTAAAACCATATCTCTGAGGTCTCAAGAAATTCTTTGGCCTGCCTACCGATTGTCCAGGACTTACAGTCATATGTTAAAACTGAATGTATGTAGCAAGCAAGAATTCTTTTTCTAACCTTCAATGAGAAAGATATATTGCATAAGATGTTCTTAATTTTAAAAAATGCAGTTTTAGCCTGTCCTATTCTGTTTCTTATTTCAGTAATTCATCTACCATCTGATGTTATCCATGTGCCAAATTTGCATTTAAATCATCGCTCGCTAGGCCGTTAGTTCGATGTAATTTAAACGCACATTCATTTTAGCGTTAGCAATATCTTTAAATTTAATTTGGGCAAAGACACCATGAAAGAACGAAAAAAAAAATTGCAATATCTCTCTCTCTCTCTCTCTCTCTCTCTCTCTCTCTCTCTCTCTCTCTCTCTCTCTCTCTCTCTCT